AGGGCTTTACTTGATGATAATCAAGCTAAGAAAATATTTCAGGAGGAACTAGAAAAACAGTTAGGCGGCCATGCAAGTGATTCCCATCCTGAAGCAGGTTGGAATCATATCAAGAAGGCTGTGGAAACAGCAATGGTATCTGCTAGCAAGGTAAACCACAAGGCTAGGATGAAGCCGTGGATTTCAGTCGCATCCACCGAACTGATGGATGCTCGAAAACGCATCCCACCTGACTCTGAACATGATGAAGAGCGTAGTCAGCTTAGGTGCAGACTTATAAAAAGCCTACGTAACGACCGTGAACAGTGGTGGGTGGCGAAAGCAAAAGCGATGGAAAAGGCAGCGGCGATAGGCAACACTAGACAACTTTTCCGCCTTATCAAAGAAACCGGTATTAGGAACCCGAATGTAAGTGAGACTATCTCGGAAAAGGATGGTCTCATTATCCATTCTCAATCTAGGAGGCTGGACCGATGGGCAGAACACTTTAGGGATCAGTTCAACTGGCCTTCAGCCACTCTTCGGTTGCCCACGATCTCCAGTCATCCTGAATGGCAAATCGATTTAAGTCCTCCCAGTTTACATGAAGTTGAGAAAGCTATAGGAAATCTAAGGAGAGGTAGAGCGGCAGGTCCCGATAGGCTTACCCCTGAGATGTTTAAGGATGGTGGTCCAGTTTTAACGGTTAACTGACCGAGATCCTAGGTAGAATCTGGGAAATGGACGTAATCCCATCTGACTGGTCTCAGTCGCTAATTGTCCCAATCTACAAGAAAGGACAGAAGTTCTCTTGTGACAATCACAGGGGAATAAGTTTAACTAATATAGTTTCTAAATTGTTAGCCTCGATTATACTTAGACGTCTAACTAGAGCTCGCGAAGAGCAGACTCGAGAAAACCAGGCTGGTTTTCGACCTGGACGTGGTTGTATAGACCACATCTTCACACTACGACAGGTCCTGGAACACAGACACACATTTAGACGTCCGACAATAGTCGTGTTCCTGGACCTTAAGGCGGCATTCGACTCAGTGGATCGTGAGGTTCTGTGGCAGTGTCTGTCATTGAAAGGTGTACCAAAGAAGTACATTAACCTTATACAAGCACTCTACTCGAACACCACTGGTCGGGTGAGAGCATATGGCGAACTGTCATCTGAATTCTCTACATCAAGTGGTGTCCGTCAGGGCTGTCCACTCTCTCCATTCTTGTTTAACTTTGTCGTAGACATCCTGTTAGAGTTAACATTAAGCTCGTCAGATTTTTCAGGGGTTGACCTTCTACCAGGAAAGTCGCTTACTGATCTAGAATATGCCGATGACATAGTTCTATTCGGTGAAGACGCTGACAAAATGCAGAGTCTTCTGACTACCATAAGCAACAATGCGAGCATGTTCGGGATGCGGTTTTCCCCCTCGAAATGCAAAATGTTGCTTCAAGACTGGGTTGCTCCGGCACCTGAACTAGTGATAGGGAGTGAAGTAGTCGAGCGTGTAGATCACTTCACTTATCTGGGGAGTCTCATCAGTGCTGACGGTCTGGTGACTGACGAAATCTCAGCTCGGATACAGAAAGCTCGATTGGCTTTTGCCAACCTGCGTCACTTATGGCGTAGGCGTGATATCCGTTCGCTAACCAAAGGGCGGGTGTACTGCGCAGCAGTTCGTTCCGTTCTCTTATATGGCTGTGAAACATGGCCGTTAAGAGTAGAAGATGTTCGTAGGTTACTAGTATTCGATCATAGATGTTTAAGAAGCATTGCTCGTATATCGTGGGACAGCCGAGTAAGCAATGCTGTCGTTAGGAAACGAGTACTAGGTAAGGATGGCAGATCAATCGATGAAGTGGTGAAACTCCATCAGTTGAGGTGGTTGGGACATGTGTTACGTATGCCTAACCACCGACTGCCTCGACGAGCTATGTTTTGTGGTGTAGGAGTAGGTTGGAAGAAAGCTAGGGGCGGCCAGACCAAAACATGGCAGAAATCCATGAAGTCACTGACAAGTGGACTGAGTCATGTTGGTAGATGTAGACTACCTGGTTGGGGTCCGCGAGACGAAAGTCATCAATGGTTAGAGACCTTGAACGACATGGCTCAAAATCGTTTGCAATGGCGCAGGTGCATCCACTCTTTGAGCTCTCTCAAATCCTAATCTTCTGGATTAGCCAGCACCTCTACCTTTTTCTTTCTAACCTTATCTCACTGAATTATATTTTTTGAATAATATCTTAAAAGCTAGTCTTCTTTATTATAACATTAATACCTCTACCATCTTTATCACTATGGGATTTGATTAGACATTTGCGTCTCTGTGCTAATAATGTGGTATGGCAACATGAACTTATGTACATACGTACGAAGTTCTACATTGCAACTGACTGACTGACTGACTGTTACGGGTGTGAAAGTGGATGTCACTTCCCGGCTGCCCACATTGTGGAAGGGTATTTCTTCAAGAACCTGAAAAGGGAGGTAGATTAGTGTTGGTCCTAGAGACCCGGGAGCGTGACCGCATAGCCCAAAGGACAACTCCTTGAGGCAGGACACGAACAGCCTTTTTAAGAAAATTTTTTAGCGTGTTAGCTTCGCTCTTCAAGTGGCCTTACCGCCAGAGACAGGAATCCGTTAGGTAAGTCGAGATGTGACAATTTTAGGGTCGGTCTTTTCCAACCCTTTCATCCCTTGTGAGAATGCAGAATCGCTGCAGATGCTGGTTGTCTGAGGAAAATATTTTACTGCTGCCACACCCCTCTATGATCAGCAAAACAACTTCGCCCCAAAACCTAGAGTTGCTGCTTTTAGTCTTACTAATCTCCAATCGAGCTGCCTGGCATCATAGAACCTAAAAAAGCATACGTTCTAGACAATATACATCGGTTAGGTCATCCCGATAGGCGAGGCGACCACCACATCAAGGTAGCAGATTTGGTCAGGCTTGATCGTTGGATACAACACAACGAGCACCAACCAAATCACACTTGACTTAGAAGTTTCGGAATACAGGGAAACGTTTACACACCGGGTCAGCATCACTGGTAAACAGAGTGGATCTGATGCAGATATAAAGATACAGATTGACAAAGTAAGGGCAGCACTGCTGCAAATGAAGAACATCCGGAACTCAAAATATCAGCCAACACGAAATTTACAACTGTCAGTACGAAAGTCGACAGTTCTACCATATGGAGCGGAAACTTGGAGAACAAAGAAAGCCATCATCCAAAAGATACAAGTGTTTAGTAATAGTTATCTATTCAAGAGACTGTGGATCCGTCGGCCAGACAGCATCAGCAACAATCTAATGTAGGGTTCAAGCATATTCTGGATGCGACTCTCCCCCTCAAAATGCAAATGTTGCTTCAGGATTGGCTTGCATCGGCACCCGAACTAGTGATAGGGAGTGAAGTTGAGTTTGTTGACAGCTTCACTTACCTTGGCCGTCGCATTAGTCGTGATGGCCTGGTGTGACGAAATCTCGACACGGATAAACAGGGCTCGATTGGCTTTTGCCAACTTCGGTCACTTATGGAGTGGCAAGATATTCGTCTACTGATCAAAGAAAGAAATTACTGCTCAGCAGTTTTCTCTGTCCTACTTTATTAGATGTGAAATATGGCCTCATCACCTTCATTTTTCTCTTCTAAAATTTATTGCACTAGATTATACTGCTTGAATAATATCTTCGAACCTAAAGCTCTTCCATTACTGATAATACCTCTACTTCCTCTATTACTATGGGATTTGAATTGACAATTCGATCGCTGTAATAATGCAGTATGTCAACTTGAACTGATGTACGTACACACCTAGTTCTACCTTGTAAAGGAACTGACTGACTAGTGGGGGTGAGAACAAACTAGATTTCTCTGGCGGTGGATAAGACATAGCGGAAATCACCCAACTGCGTCACAAGGCAGGGCCAAATGAAAAGAAGTACACCAAGCAACACACTGCGCATAAAATCGGAAACAGATATGAAAGGAATAAACAGCAATCCGTTAGAACTCGGAAGTAAGGCCCAGGACAGAGTTGGTTGGAGGCCTATGGTCATTAGAAGTAAAAGAAGCAATTGTGTAGCGTTTTTCTAGGAAACCAATGGATCTATGACAAATTGTACGAGGTGTGATCAATCTCACGTTACAGTAACAGTACAGAATTATTCACTAACAAGTCTAGCGCACACAAGCCCAACTAGTAAAGGTTTTTAAGGGCTTTCATAAAAGCCAGGAACTTCCCTGAGTTAAGAGAATTGGTCCCAGATTTATTATTCACATTTTAAGTATACTCACAGCTATCATATAGTAAGAAATCATCAACCTACTCTCACATCCTCAGGTTACTACTTTGAAATCAATGCCAAAGCCATATTAAAAATACAGTCGATTGTGTACAAATTTTATTCAGAACTTACAAAATGTCTAACAAGCAATTTCAAGAACAGATTTTTATGATACCGCATAAAACTAAAATTGAAAATCTAAGTATTCCTATCTAAGTCTATAAAGGAGGTTATGAGTTAGGTGGTGATTATATATGAGAAACTAGATAGTCACTGGTCCCCACACCTGAAGCGTAAAACTGAATATGAAAATTCAGTTCTTGTGCATGAGTAACTTTCGAATATATTCATAACTTACAAATAAGGACAATCAAATATTCGCTGCAATATAATATTTCATGTCAATCCATACAGTTTATGGTTCAAGTTGAAGTACCTTTAAACATAATGAATTGCGTATGCCAACAAAATAACTGGTAACGAAATCGAAATGTAATAATTATTTGACTAAGATACTAAAAAGAAATATAAAGTTTAGCTAAAATACTCACTAACTTTGAAGGTCATTTATAACTCAATATACAAGTTTTTACTTGTTCTGAGCTGCTATTTACCGGACTGATTGTTAATACCTCTTGTAATCAACATAATTTAGACAAGATTGCAATATAATTCAATATAGGGAAACACCATATCCAACAAAAAATCGCATTGACTAACCAGAAGTAGAAGCGAAATAGCATCGACCGAGCAAGTAAATAATTTGATCGTGATCAAAGTTTGGCCATAACTGAACATACCAACCAAACTTTAGCTGATTCCACGCTGAACGTATGTGATCAAGAGTTGTGAAGTTAGATCGTGTAACCGATGCTGAGTATTTTCTCCGAGATGCTTTTTTCTGAGTAAAAATGGGATTGCCTTCGCCTCGTCTCATTGTGAGAATGACCAATTGATTCACATGGGTATTGTGAATTCCTAAAAATCTTAACAAGGGGGTAGATCCAATAGCTTATACAACAAACCCAACAGGACTCTGTCAACTAAAGAAAATAAAATATCGTAATGTATGTTAATTACGAGAAGTTGAAATAAGTACCAAAAAGCAGAAAGAATGAAATCAGATACATATTTATTGGTAATACATAGTTACTCATACAACTTTCTATTTCCCGGAACAACAGGCGAAGTCAGCAACCCTCCGGTAATAACAGTTTGAGGTGAAGACATATTGGAAATAGATACACCTTTTTCAATGTGGTATTGTTTGGATAAGTCCACCAAAGCCTGGAAAACATGTTATAGAAGTCAAAACTTACTGAGAAAGTTCGAGGCTCATAAATAGACAAAATTTGTAGTATGTTTTTATTAAGAGCGATATTTGATTGGGCTAAGCCTTCACACAATGCATGAGCACTGGGGAGACCACACTGTTCACTGGCTATTTTCAGTCGCTCCGTCCATAAGGATTTCATTTCCGATTTCCGAACCTTTCTTAAGTCTTTCATGAGCTGGAAAGCCTTGATAACGCGGTTGGTGCCTAGCTTGGGACATCGAGCTGTACGACCTTGGAAAAGCTTCATTCGTTACAAAAATTATACGAAGATCTTACGAAGGCGAATTTCATCATATTGTCTTTCCGGAACCATCGGTCACACGGCATAAAAGGAACAATTTTTCTAATGTGAAGGACATCTGTCAATTTCATTTTCGTAAGGGCTGGAAAGACAAGTTTGCGTGCAGAATGTGTCAGTAAGCAGTGCGTAAGCACTATTAAAACCAAAGCAGATCAAACTAAACAAATACGTACATTCAGAATGACAGACAAACCTTGGGATCAGATCGTGAATAAACTAACTTGAATTATGTACGGAAACCTGACCTTGAAATCCAAATGAAGCTCCAAATGGGGATGTTTGGCAAATGTTTGAGAAGACGTGACGTGACAATTAAAGTTCGACCTGGTCGGGTGTAGGCAATAACTACCAAGGACAAATGGGTGAGGTCGCGCAAAATCTCTAGATTGATCAGATTTAGACATTACCACAATCGGATGCCTGCCCAGTGGCCCAGAGGTTAATTGTTCACACTCATGACCGAAGATCCTACGTTCGAATCATGCCGGGTGCATGGGGTCGTGGATGAACTTTGTTGATAAGTCTCATACCTGGAAGTACTGGATGTCCAGTGCGTCCATGATTCTCATGGTGGTCGAACAGTCACTGGTTGGTTAACCACATTCCTTCTGACAACCAATAAGATCTATGCATTACAGGAGGGATAGGCGTCGTTTTCAGCATCTCCGTATGTTAAAATGAATTTCAAATTCAGTTCCGTGTTAAGCTTCGTTCGTTTTTAAGTTTCGTTGGTGTTTTGATGCTGAGAATGACTTAAAACTGCTTCTTTTTATTAAACTGTACTGTTCGTGTTAGTTAACGTTAGTTGAATTAAACACTGTATCATTTTTATCATTGATGAATGTTGTACGTTGACAATATTACAAGTTTCCATACTTCACGTGTCGGAAATGGATCTCATTATCTTTAAAATTGTTTCTCCATAATGTTGTATCATGTCAATGTTTTAATTATTGCTTTTAGGTTTTGTGGATCTGGTTTTCTCCCGTCGCCACTTTTATGTTTTGTACTTGATGTAACGCCAAACCACTGTACTAATGACACCCGAACGTTAGACCCCTCCATTCAAAAATAAGAAGACGGAAGATGTTGGAGAACGCTTATTGTCAGAATCAAAAATGTACAACCAAACATGCGGATTTATACAATTATATAAATGTCGATTAAATATTTTGAACATTCATCAAATAGTTCATCGTGAACATTAATCATATAGTTCATCATTAATGAAATAGTTTGTCATGAACATTAATCATATAGTTCATCATTAATGAAATAGATTATCATGAACATTAATTAAATAGTTCATCAATCCACAATATGCGTGGCTTTCTTCTCGATTGGCTATCCCAACACCTCCCCGGAATAAGATTTTTTTCTTTTTCTTTTCTTTGTTCTTCGAAGTCGTTCCAGTTCCTGTTCAACTACCGGGAGAGAAGCATAGGGTACAGGAATGGCTGTTGACTTGAGAGTCAGTAGTGCGTCAGCTTTCGTATATTCGCCTAACGCTTCTGAGGATACGTGATGATGCCTTTTCATAATCGCATTTCTGAGACTTGACTCTAAGGGGTTATTGATTCTTACTTGGCTGCAGATGTTGTTGATAGAATGGTCTGTTAGTTTTAATGCATCTATGAGGTCCAACCCCAATAAATCAAGGTCTGGGTTCTTAGTTAAGTATACAGTTGCACTCGTGGTTGCCTCATTTTTTGAAACAGTGCACAATATTTCCCCAACAATATTTAATTTACCACCAGATGCGCTGTGTGCTAGTTGCTTCGTTTGGTGAACTGTAGGTCTTCCAATTTTCTCCCAAGTTTTTGGACTGATGAGGGTGATATCAGATGCTGTGTCAAGTTGAAGACGGATACGGTGTGAATTCATGTCCAAAGTCACATACTTTCTTCTGTGGTGAATTCCTGTCTGGTTATGAGACACCAATACTGGGTTTATTGGCTTACCAGAACTGTATTTCTTGCAATCGACTTTGGCGGAGTAATGTCTGCCAGTTTTTGTCCTACATCGCGTTTCTTTGTGACCCTTTTTGTGACATTTAGTGCAAACATAATCTTTGTATGGACAAAACAACCTCCACATGACCAGCATGGAGATGAGGGCTGGTTGTCTGTGCTCTTGTGATGCTCTTGTGAGCCGGAATTTTTCTTTTCACTAACGGCATGCACGTATGATGGACGGCCATTGTTTTCGACCATGGAGGTATCATGCTTCAAATTTACCAATCTCTGGCACTCTGCAGTTATTTCTTGAAGCGAGATGTTTGGGCACTGCTCAATTTTACTTAAGATTCTGGTTCTTATATCAGCATCTTCGGGAGATTGTAAGCTGCAAACAAACACAAGGCATTTAAACTGATCTTCCGTCATTGATGATAATTTAAATCGTTCGCATTCACGATTTACTAAGCCGGCGTGCTTTACCCAATCATCTTCATTTGACTTGGTTATTTTGAGGCATTGATAACGAATAATAAAGGGAGATGACTGTTCAGCGAAGGTTAGCGACAGCGTTTCAATTGTAGCATCAAAAGAGAAATCTCGTGGGTTCTTTGGGAGGATGAAATTACTATAACGTTCGTGTTCGATTGTGCCGAGCTTTCTCAAGAGGATTCTGACTTTGGTGGCGTCATCAAGTTTGTTGAGGTCGACCTTGAACAAATCCTCATACTTCTTGAACCAAGACTCGAAAGTCACACCCGCAAGGCCATCAAAATGGAATTCATGAATGGAATTAACTATCGAGTCTGTATGTGGATTATATGAGTCGTCGGTAGGACCTCTGTGATTCAAATTCATTTGTTTCATTAACAGCTCCAACATACGTTCCTGGAACTGTTCAAATCGTTTTGCTTGACGTTCCAGTAAGGATTCTATCTGTTCATGGGTAATTGACATTGTGAATTGTAAGCCCCGTCGCCACTTTTATGTTTTGTGGATCTGGTTTTTTTTTCCCATCGCCACTTTTATGTTTTGTACTTGATGTAACGCCAAACCACTGTACTAATGACACACCGAACGTTAGACCCCTCCGTTCAAAAATAAGAAGACGGAAGACGTTGGAGAACGCTTATTGTCAGAATAAAAATGAACAATCAAACATGCGGATTTATACAATTATATAAATGTCGATTAAATATTTTGAACATTCATCAAATAGTTCATCGTGAACATTAATCATATAGTTCATCATTAATGAAATAGTTTATCATGAACATTAATCATATAGTTCATCATTAATAAAATAGATTATCATGAACATTAATGATATAGTTCATCAATCCACAATATGCGTGGCTTTCTTCTCGATTGACTATCCCAACACCTCCCCGGAATAAGATTTTTTTCTTTTTCTTTTCTTTGTTCTTCGAAGTCGTTCCAGTTCCTGTTCAACTACCGGGAGAGAAGCATAGGGTACAGGAATGGCTGTTGACTTGAGGGTCAGTAGTGCGTCAGCTTTCGTATATTCGCCTAACGCTTCTGAGGATACGTGATGATGCCTTTTCATAATCGCATTTCTCAGACTTGACTCTAAGGGGTTATTGATTCTTACTTGGCTGCAGATGTTGTTGATAGAATGGTCTGTTAGTTTTAATGCATCTATGAGGTCCAACCCCAATAAATCAAGGTCTGGGTTTTTAGTTAAGTATACAGTTGCACTCGTTGTTTCCTCATTTTTTGAAACAGTGCACAATATTTCTCCAACAATATTTAATTTACCACCAGATGCGCTGTGTGCTAGTTGCTTCGTTTGGTGAACTGTAGGTCTTCCAATTTTCTCCCAAGTTTTTGGACTAATAAGGGTGATATCAGATGCTGTGTCAAGTTGAAGACGGATACGGTTTGAATTCATATCAAAAGTCACATACTTTGTTTATTGTCTTGGAATCGACTTTCGCGGAGTAATGTTTGCGAGTTTTTGTCCTACATCGGGTTTCTTTGTGACCCTTTTTGTGACATTTAGTGCAAACATTTTCTTTGTATGGACAAAACTTCTTGTAGTGCCAACCTCCACATGACCAGCATGGAGATGAGGGCTGGTTGTCTGTGCTCTTGTGAGCCGGAATTTTTCTTTTCACTAACGGCATGCACGTATGATGGACGGCCATTGTTTCCGACCATGGAGGTATCATGCTTCAAATTTACTAATCTCTGGCACTCTGCAGTTATTTCTTGAAGCGAGATGTTTGGGCACTGCTCAATTTTACTTAGGATTCTGGTTCTTATATCAGCATCTTCGGGAGATTGTAAGCTGCACACAAATACAAGGCACTTAAACTGGTCTTCCGTCATTGATGATAATTTAAATCGTTCGCATTCACGATTTACGAAACCGGCATGCTTTACCCAGTCATCTTCATTTGACTTGGTTATTTTGAGGCATTGATAACGAATATTAAAGAGAGATGACTGTTCAGAGAAGATTTGCGACAGCGTTTCAATTGTGGCATCAAAAGAGAAATCTCGTGGGTTCTTTGGGAGGATGAAATTACTGTAACATTCGTGTTCGATTGTGCCAAGCTTTCTCAAGAGGATTCTGACTTTGGTGGCGTCATCAAGTTTGTTGAGGTCGACCTTGAACAAATCCTCATACTTCTTGAACCAAGACTCGAAAGTCACACCAGCAAGGCCATCAAAATGAAATTCATGAATGGAATCAACTATCGAGTCTGTATGTGGATTATATGAATCATCGGTAAAACCTCTGTGATTCAGATTCATTTGTTTCATTAACATCTCCAACATACGTTCCTGGAACTGTTCATATCGTTTTCTTTGACGTTCCAGTAAAGATTCTATCTGTTCAAGGGTAATTGACATTGTGAGTTGTAAGCCCCGTCGCCACTTTTATGTTTTGTGGATCTGGTTTTCTCCCGTCGCCACTTTTATGTTTTGTACTTGATGTAACGCCAAACCACTGTACTAATGACACACCGAACGTTAGACTCCCACAGTTCAAAAATAAGAAGACGGAAGACGTTGGAGAACACTTCTTATCAGAATCAAAATTGTACAATCAAACATGCGTATTTATACAATTATATAAATGTCGTTAA